GAATATACACTGATAATTTAATCCTCAAATTAGGGATTAAAGTAGTTTTGACTGGTGGTGAAAAAGGGTCGTGTAGTCGATAGATTTTAAACCCCACTGACCAGTCTTTAATCAATGTTTTAGAGATTAATAAATTCGTGACATGCGGTGATCAGGTTATCCGTGGCCTCAATGACCCTCGTGAAGTTTACAGGCTTTATAACCTTTCAATTCGACACAACTAATCCGCGTTACGAGAGCAGTTGCCTGTCGAACAAAACACCATCACCACAGAAGCAGGAAGCGTGTTGATTCAGTTTTGTTTGTGTGTTGGTGCGTGAGAGGTCAAGAGAGACGCAATCTCAGGGGGATGGGGGGAGAGGGAGTTAGACCAAAGGGAGCTATGACGTCCCTTTGTCAACCCTGAGACTCCAACGGGGGCAGAATTGATCTTATCTCGCTAAAGAGATGAACGAAGACTCTTGGATGCTTGGGGAAATCTCAGACATATCGCATATCGTAGATAACTCGGACAACGACAACGTTTTTCCCTTGCGCTAGTAAAAAAAAAAAAGTTATCACTAACAAAGATATGTACTGAATCCTGTTTATCGGTAGTTATGTACAGTTTTAATTTTCATATTGTATGACATAGACAGAAGAGACTTAAAAATAGTGTGATGGTTTGAGTACATAAGAATGACTGATACTCTTAATAAGTCTTCCAGTCGGCTGAGCTGGGAGTATGGACAGCTGGGAATGAAATTACGTATATGTATAGGGCTTCTGGCAACTCTTCTGAGCTGGGAGACCGATGCACTCACTGATTGGTGATTTACTATATTGAGCTGGCATTAATACAGTCCTAAAAGTAATCTCTCTCTCTCTCTCTCTCTCTCTCTCTCTCTCTCTCTCTCTCTCTCTCTCTCTCTCTCTCTCTCTCTCTCTCTCTCTCTCTCTCTCTCTCTCTCTCTCACTCTCTTTTTTTACAAGGTTAGGTTACGGGTTCCTACCTTTATTTACCAGCTAAGAGCTGTTACCTGTATCAGATCATTCACGAAATCGTAATGACACGATTGCAAACAAACCATACCACGGGCGGGATTGAGACTCTCTGACCGCGGGTTCAATCCCGCCCGTGGTATTGTTTATTGTTAGGAGATATACAAATAGAGAACAGGATAAAGTTGGAGCCATCTGTGAGCCAGCGATTTCATTTGGCTGACTGACTTCATTTTGTTGATGTCATTATGCTGTACGAGCCTGTTCCAGATATACTCTCTCTCTCTCTCTCTCTCTCTCTCTCTCTCTCTCTCTCTCTCTCTCTCTCTCTCTCTCTCTCTCTCTCTCTCTCTCTCTCTCTCTCTCTCAACTCAAGCAGGATCAGTATTTTTTTAAACAGCATACCAAAGACAAGCAAAAAAAATCCATGTCAGCATCATGGCAGAATAAAAAAAATCTAGTTAGGCTTCTGCAAAGAGAATTTGAGAACATTTCTATGCTTGGGATGGAGAGAGGGTGACGGAGAGATAGGGATGAAGCGAAGGGAAAGGAGAGATGATGATAGAGGGAAATATTACAGGAAAAATATGAAGACTGTAGGATATCAGACTCCAGGATAACAGATTGTAAGATAAGAGGTAGGATAATAGATTGTAGGATAACAAACTTTAGGATGAAAGACTGTAGGATGAAGGACCGTAGCATGAAAGACAGTAGGATGAAGGTCAGAAAGATGAAGAACTCTAGGATGAAGGACTGAAAGATGAAAGATTGTAGGATGAAAGACTGTAGGATGAAACACTGCAGGATGAAGGACTGCAGGATGAAAGGCTGTAGAATGAAGGGCTGTATAGATGAAGAACTGTAGGATAAAGGATTGTAAGATGAAAGACTGTAGGATAAAGATTGTAGGAGGAAGGCTTGTAGGATGGAAGACTGTAGGTTGAAGGACTATAGGATGTAGGATTTTAGGATGAAGAAATATAGGATAAACAAGTAGACGGTAACATAGGGAAAAAAGTGACTACAAAACCCGGCACAGCAACACAACAACACAGAAACAAAGTAACACAGCAGCACAACAAAACAGCAACATGACACAGCAATACAACACAGCAACACAACAACACAGCAGCTCAGCAACACAACACAGCAACATAATAACACAGCAACAACAACACAGCAACATAACACAGCAACACAACACAGCACGCAACAACACAGCAACAAACACACACGCACAACAACACAGCAACACAATAACACATGACACACAACAACACAGCAACACAAAACACAGTAACACAAAAACAGCACAGTAACCCAGCAACACAGAACACAGCAATAGAACAACACAGCAACATAGCAACATAATAAAGCAACACACCTACACAGAAAACTCAACACAGGAAGGCAACACAACAACAGCGAAGCACTGCAATACAACACAGCAGCGAACCATAGCAGCACAACACAGCAGCAGAGAGAAGCAACACAACGGAGCAGCAGAGAGAAGCAATACAACAGAGCAGCAAAGTACAGTAGCACATTACAGCAGTGAAAAACAGCAACACAGCACAGCAAAATAGCAGACAAGTATAACACAGCAGCGAAACACAGCAATACAACACAGCAACGAAGCACAGCCACACAACCCAGCAACGAAGCACAGCAACACAACAACAAAGCACAGCAACACAAAACAACGAAGTACAGCAACACACCACAGCAGTAAAGCACAGCAACCCATAATAACAAAGCACAGCCACACAACATAATAACAAAACCACACAGCAACAACAGACACACACGGCAATAGAAGAAGAACACACAGCAGCGAAGCACAGCCACACAACACAGCAGCGAAACACAAGAACGACATACAGCATCACAGCAGCGAAACACAAGAACTACGAACAGCAACACAGCAGCGAAACACAAGAACGACATACAGCATCACAGCAGCGAAACACAAGAACGACGAACAGCAACACAGCAGCGAAACACAAGAACTACGATACAGCAAATACAGCAGCGAAACACAAGAACTACGAACAGCAACACAGCAGCGAAAACAAGAACGACATACAGCATACACAGCAGCGAAATACAAGAACTACATACAGCATCACAGCAGCGAAACACAAGAACTACGAACAGCAACACAGCAGCGAAACACAAGAACGACATACAGCATCACAGCAGCGAAACACAAGAACGACAACAGCAACACAGCAGCGAAACACAAGAACGACAACAGCATACAGCAGCGACAACAAGAACTACGAACAGCAACACAGCAGCTGAAAATGAAAGAACTCTGACAGCACAAGCTTGAACTGCTATGTTTGTAGGAAAAATGAGAAATTTCTGCATGGACGCGATGCTATTATGTTCTTGAAAGCACTATTTTGTGTAAATAAAATACTTTTTAGGTATACTGCTACTCTGCTTTATGTGTAACTTAAAGCTACACTGCTTTATGTGTAACTTAAAGCATCCTAAACTTAGCTAACTTTATGTGTAACTTAAAGCTACACTGCTTTATGTGTAACTTAAAGCTACACTGCTTTATGTGTAACTTGAGCTACACTGCTTTATGTGTAACTAAACCATCTTTATGAACTAAGCTACTCTGCTTTATGTGTAACTTAAAGCTACACTGCTTTATGTGTAACTTAAAGCTACACTGCTTTATGTGTAACTTAAAGCTACACTGCTTTATGTGTAACTTAAAGCTACACTGCTTTATGTGTAACTTAAAGCTACACTGCTCCACATGTATTTTAAAGCTACACTGCTCCACATGTATTTTAAAGCTACACTGCTCCACATGTATTTTAAAGCTACACTGCTCCACATGTATTTTAAAGCTACACTGCTCCACATGTATTTTAAAGTTACCCTGCTTTATGTTTATCTTAAAGCTACACGGCTATATGTTTTTCTTAAAGCTACACAGCTTTCTGTTTATCTTAAAGCTACACTGCTTCATATATATCTTAAAGCTAAAGCCTTTTGTTTTCCCTGTTGCTAAGACCAAGAACACCCTTTTTCCTATTTTTTTATGTGTACTTTTGAAGTGAGGAAACGATATGACTGTCAGTTTTACAAGGCATTGAAGTATTCTTGGCTGGTAGTGTTCAGGTGGTATGTAGCCATAATTTCTTTCGTGTATTCAGTGAACCTTCTAGATAAACAGGCATAAATCTAAGTATTTTTTGTTATTCTATGGTTTTTAAATGTTTATCAGACACTTTAGTCTTCCTGAACTTTGGTTACTCCTTCAGCCATTTTCTTTACGTGATAATAATCAACATTAAATGTCAACATCACAGCATTCACAAAACAGTGTTTGGACACTGGATGAATTTTCGGTCCGTCCTTTACCATTATCATGTTGCAGAAGAACAGAGGGAGGAGAGAGAGAGAGAGAGAGAGAGAGAGATAGGCAGGCTGGCAAACAGACAGACAGAACAAGACAATCCAACTTCATCAAACGACAACAAACTTTCCCCCTCTGTAGATTTCCTGCAGAGAAAAGTTCCTTGCTTCAGGCTCCTTCATTTCCTCTTGTATCTTTATATATGACAAGACGCAGTTACCGCCGTCTCACGCTCTAACATAATCCTTTAACAAATAAGTCTGGGCTTTCAAAAAGAAAATTGAATCAAACCACATAGACGTACATGATTTTTTTTAAGAACTAAAGAGAAAGCTGACACTATACAATGTAAACATCTAGAAATGTATATACAAAATTAGTTTATAATAAGCAGTTAATAAATTTGGATTTACATGAAATTTTTCCCATCTCACAAAAATATAATTTCAGTTTACCAGGCCGTGCCCAAACAAGATAACGATCAGAATCAGCTGGAAAATATTTGGCTGGTACTGAATAACGAAAGAGGTGGTGATAAACTCGTCAGGAAGATAGGAAGAGTTGCAGGTTAGGTTAGACCCATTAGGTGCGTGGTGAAGGAGGTAGGTAGAGTTTTAGGTCAGGTTACACTCACCAAGTTGGTGGTGACGAGAAGAGTGACGTTCATGGTGCCAGGGTCGTAGAAGGCGGCCCTGTCTGTAATGTTGACACCGCTTCCAGGTCCCCACTCCCCTACCTGCAACACAGGTGATGTCGGGTTGTAACAGTGGTAGTCAGTAATGTGACACAGGTGGTGGTTGTTGTCGGGATGTAACAGGTGGTAGTGGTGTAGGGATGTAACAAGTGGTGGTGGTGGTGTCGGGTTGTAACAGGTAGTGGTGGTGTCGGGTTGTAACACAGGTGGTGTCAGGTGTAACACGTAGTGGTTGTGGGTGGTACAACAGGCAATATATACTAGCGAATTCGGAAAATGTAAGGGTCGAGCCACAAACGCCACTGAAAGCAGAACGGCAAACTAAAATATGCATGGTTTCACCAATATTTTATCCTGTTATGAACTTCAGATCCAAAGGAACACGGTAAGTATCCGTGGATATTTTTTTCTAAATGAACACAATTCGAATTGAGGGTGTCTCCATACAAAAGACTATATTTTGTATTGAATGACTCGGTGTAAACAGACCAGGTCTGGCATTCAAGGTGTGTTAGTCATAATGTCTAATTGAGTTCACTCTGTATTATTATCTTTAACATAGAATTTGCAGGTTAAGAACTCTGGCCTGTTCCATGTTCACAGAATTTCTTGGATATTTCAACGGTTATTCTGATAGCTTATAATCTGACCACTCGAAACTAATACTTGTCTTAGTAGAGTAACTTGTCTTAAACATAGGATACAGGTACGAGAGACACGAACGCCTCTTAGAGATAAATGTTTCATTCTTTGCCGTACTTTTCTCTCTTTCTCTCAACCTCTATCCGTTCCTCTTTTTCCTCAGTCTTCCTCTCCCTCACTTCCCACATTAACTTACCTTCACGAGGGAATGCTGCTTCAGTTTGAGTATATCGAGCTTGAAGTTTGTCCTCCTTCCTTCCTTGAACTGAATAGGCCCCGTTATGCCTCTGAATTCAACCTGGGTGAGGTGAAAAATATAAAATTATTTGGAGACGTTAATGGAACATGAGCTAGGTCAGACAGAATTTTTGTTTTATTATTGGGTTAGGATAAAAGCTATTCACCGATTACCATTATTATTTTAGTAATTATTATTATTATTCTCAATATCACCTGACCGACATCAACACTCATACCATCCCTGAAAGGAAGAAAATTAAGTAAACATATTGTGAGTAGTAACGAAAGCGTTTAGAATTTCGCTATTTTTTCACAGTGGTTGTTTTGCATATAATTATATATATATTAATATATATATATATATATATATATATATATATAATATATATATATATATATATAATATATATATATATATATACGTCGTGCCGAATAGGCAGAACTTACGATCTTGGCTTAAATAGCAACGCTCATCTTGCCATATAGGACAGGCAAAAATTTGTGTATGCAATAATTTCGCCAAAATAATTCTAAGCCTAACGAAAAAAATATATTTGATTATGTTTGTTTAGTACTAAATTATTGTAAACATATTTAAAATATATATTGTTGGGTTAGGCTAAAATAAATTGTTCTTGTTATAATAAGGTTAGGTAAGTTTTCTAAGATTCTTTTGGTGCAAAATTTAAAAATTTTTACATTAACATTAATGAAAAAAATATATCTTTAAACGTATAAGAGAAAATTTCAGAAAAGACTTAATTTTAAATGAGTTCTTGCTAATTGACCAGTTTTACATATTCGGCACGACATATATATATATATATATATATATATATATAATATATATATATATATATATATATATATATATAATATATATATATATAATACACAATCGAGAGAGACCTCTCAGTATATACAGATCTGTCATTGCTTGCACTCTTGCTATGCTTAATTTCTTTAACTGAGTCCAAGTCGTTAGCGCTTTTGGCTCTTCATTTATCTGGCAACATTGTGAGAAAAAATATATTTCCAGAGAGATACTGTAACTAATGTTAATGTTTCATTTCTTTTCCATAGATTCTCTACCTTATTATAATCTTTATCCTGAAGGGAGGAAGAGAACTAGGAAGAAGAGTAGGAGGAAAAAGATGAAGAGTAGGGAAAATTGGAGGAAGATAAAGTGGAAGTGGTGACAGAGAAGAAAAGGGAGTAGGATGAAAGGGCGGAGATATAAAGGGTAGAAAATGGGAAGATGGTAAAACCAGTATTTGGAGCAAAGAAGAGGAGGAGGGGGAGGGGAGAGGGAGGAGGAGGAAGGAGGAGGAGGATTCAAGACAAGAAGTCAGTAGATGGAACAATGAACCACGTGGGACAATGCACCATAAACACGTCCTAGTGCGCTGCACTTCCTTCATCTTCATGTCACAAGACCAGCCTCTGGAGAGTGCCAAAGCCCCCGGCTCGTTATTTGCACGTTATATGCTGCCATTAGAAGGGCTAAATGACTCAGAAATTGCACTGACGATTCACACGATGTGTTAAGCTCTTCTCATATCCAGGACTTACGACTAGTGCCTCCAGCAGCAGCAGTGAGAGGCTTCTGGCACGTACGTTCGATTTCTGGGGGGATGGTGGCCGATTTAAGGGGATGGATTCGATTCCTTTGTGGTGGGTTGGTTTCCAGAGCAATACACATGAGAATCCGACTAGCTACCTTGTATTCACGCAGTGTTACACGTTTTATTAATGGGGAAATTAATGTAATTACTTTACTAGTGATTGTCATATGCTGGATGGCAGACATCGCTATATACTCTTATCTGGAGAAACAGTTTATAGCCGTCATTCTGAAGTGTTATCACGCCTGACAAGAGCACTAGCGTATTACTCACGACCCTCTGTAACCTCCGTGGTGGAACACTGGACTAGTAATCTGAGGACAGCCAGATCAAGGATTCGAATTCTGTCATCACATATATTTTTACAGTCTTTTATTGCGGATATTTAGCTCAGTCACAGCTGGTGATGAATATATTATGCTTTATGCAGTGGTTATTCTGCACCACACACACACACACACACACACACACACACACACACACACACACACACACACACACACACACACACACACACACACACACACACACACACACATAATGTAATCTAACCTAAAATACAATATTTGGAGAAGTCATTTTAGACTGAGAACGCTGAGATAAACAACGATGTGCACAAAGTGTTATCGTTGTTTTTCTCGCGTTTTCAGTCGTTTGTGAATGCACGTTTAGAGGCTAAGTGGGTGTTCATTGTACACACCGAGTTGATGTAGTTGAAGAGGGAGGATCCATCTCCCCAGGGCAGCTCATGATCACATGAGAGGTTAGCAACCTTGAGGGTCGTAGAGCGCTCCAGAGCCTGCAGACCTAGAGCGAAGACATGCACGCTGTCGTAGATGAGGGCCGGCTCTATCTGGTGATGGGGAAAGGGTTGATGGGGTTAGTGATTGTGGGGGAATCAGTACCACTACAACCTCAACTTGCTGATGAATCTGCACTTGCCTGCTACTCCCACACTTAAGGGCTTCCCTTTCTTCTTCACCTTTCACCCTACTCCACAACCATTGCATATCCCCTCCCCCTCCTCACCATCACCCACTCCCTCCCCCAGCATTTTCCCAAACCAACCTCACCCCTCTTCACCCCCCAAAAACTAACGACTTGGACCCACCTGTATAACTCTGCTCTGGTTGAGAATATTGTGCCCTATAGGCTGGAACTTCTCCATGTCCTTGAGAACCCTCCTGACGCGGTAGTGGTCAGAGTCGACCAGCCTGAAGGCAGTCATGTTGACAAAGTTATACTTGAAGTCTTCCAGGTCAAACGTCTCAATGTCCTGCCAGGGAAGAAACACAATATTATCCAATCTAGCCTAGATAGCTGGAAGAATAGCAAGCCAGTCTCGAGTGTAGGCACTGTACTTTCCGCCTTCAGGACTCGAGTCTGGCTGACCGGTTTCCCTGAATTCCTTCATAAATGTTACTTTGCTCACATTCCAACAGCACGTCAAGTCATAAAAGCCCCTTGCCTCCACTCACTCCTGTTAAACCGGGTTCGAAAGGCTTTCTACCCTCGTTTCTCTGCTTGAAGCAAGAGTTGTCACTGGATTACCTATTCAGGCTGTTACTGCTGGCGACTCTCTGAAAACATTCAGCGAAGAATGACAGAGGCAGCGATCCCGGGATGATCCAAAAAAGTTCCTTCGGAAACATATAAACTTATATCTTGGCGGCCATTAAACGTCTATGGAACCTCACTTTACTTTTTAATAGAAGTTTCGTGAAAGACATGAATATTTTATGCTTAGAAAACTACTACTACTACTACTACTAATAATAATAATAATAATAATAATAATAATAATAATATATTATTTTATATTACTGTTAATGATATGAAGAGTTGAATATTTAGGAGTCATACAGCACCTACTGAATGGAAATATCTCGCATTTGATTCGAGGAAATAAAAGATACCTCTAACTCCTTGGATCAAGAGCCCTTCAACATGATAAATGGCCTAACGGAGGCCATCTTAGTCTATACAAAGATCAGAACGCTAAAACGAGTGTCCAAGTTTCTAGATCAACTTCTTCCTTGATAGAGGTCAGGATAGTAAAGCCGAAGGATCTCTCCCCACTCTCCACTTTCTCTCCCATACACTGGTAGAACAGAAATTTTCGAGTGTTAATAAGTGAATGACTACATCTACTATTATGACTATTACTGTCGTCATTAATACTATCTTTAGAAAAAGAGGATGATAGAGAGGGAGACAGATAGGTAGAGGACATGAGAGGAAGAGACGGGACGCGAGAGGGAGTGCGAGAGAGCAAAGAAAAAGGTTGAGAGTGAGAGAGAGAAAGAAAGAGAAAGAGAGCTAGGGATCCTTAACCTAACCTTGTCAAACCCTGTGTAAAAAAAGAGAAAGAATGAGATAGAGAGATTGAGAGAGATTGAGAGAGCGAGAGAAAGAGCGAGAGAAGAGATAGAGAGAGAGAGAGAGAGAGGAGAGAAGACGAGAGAGAGAGAGAGAGAAGAGACGAAGGACAGACAGACAGACAGACAGACAGAGAGACGACAGAGAGAGAAAGAGGACAGAGAAGAGAGAGGAGAGGAGAAGAAGAGAGAGAAGAGAGAGAGAGAGAGATAAATTTAAGAGATGACGGAGAGAGACAGAGAGAAGATTACTTCCAACTTTTTTTCTAATCGAATCATTCCGGCCTAAGATCCCAGCAGGCACGGAAGGGCCAGAGACGGACAGACAAAGTGCAGAGATAAAACAAAGAAACACGGAAGGAAGACAGTAGTTTACACAGACAGACAAAGCAAATTTCGGAGATAAGATTCAGATACAGACAAATAATATTACGTTTTAACCTCTGTAAAAAACAATAATATGTAAAAACGATTCAGATAAAAAATCAAAACGCGTTTAATTTGTAAATAATTCCAAAATAATAATAAGCAATGGTAAAAAAAATCGTTGTCAAAGATACCCTAAATTATTTAGGGTATTTTGTGTTGATTTTTCCAAAATTTCAGGTTTTTCAGAATGCTCTAATGAAAATTTGTTATATAGATAATTTTATAAGACTTAGAATTTTATTTTCAAATTATTAATATTTATGAATGTAGCATTATTGTAACCTTAATTTTGTTATTTTATACAAATAAAACATCAGTTCTTCCGAAGATCTGTTAAATCATATTTGAAAAGTATTTTGCTTTATTTGTGGCAAGATACTCTTTAAAAACAAGAAAAAGCCTCACAATTTTGTAAAACAAGCTTATCTTGCTTATTTTGTAAAACAAGCTTATCTTGCTTATTTTGTAAAACAAGCTTATCTTGCTTATTTTGTAAAACAAGCTTATCTTGCTTATTTTGTAAAACAAGCTTATCTTGCTTATTTTGTAAAACAAGCTTATCTTGCTTATTTTGGAGTAGTGATCGGAGCCCAAGACAAGTGTTGGGCTCCCCATATGGTCTGCAAAACCTGTGTAGGATCCTTACGACAGTAAATACTTTTTTCTCTCTTGTCCTTAGAGTATCTCCACTACTTCGGTGTGCCTATGGTGTGGAGACAGCCAAAAAAAAAAAATATTGTTATTTCTGTATGGTGAATGTAAGAATTTCAATCAGTACAAGAAAGTCAAGTTTGAATTTCCTGATTTGGAGTCAGCAAGGAGACCTGTGCTATACAGCGAGGGCATTACCATACCAGTGTTTACAACACTGCCTGACCTTCCTTTGTCAGATGTTGAAGAAACTCAGGGTTTAGGATGTAACACGGGTGATAGCAGTGGAAGTGAATATGAAGTAAACATTACAGCACCTCAGCGGTTCTCTCAAGAAAAACTCAGTGATCTGATACATGACCTCAGTGTGTCAAAACAAACATCTGAACTTTTATCATCCAGACTAAAAGAAAAGAACTGTCTAAAACAAGAAGTTAAAATAACAGCTTATCGGACAAGAGAGTTGAACTCTTTCGTTACTTCAGCCAAGATGAACAACTTGTATACTGCAATAACATTTCTGGACTTCTTCTTTGACGGGACTTGAATATCGACCAGGAGATTGGAGGTTGTTTCTAGAAACAACTCTATTAGAAGCTTGAAATGTGTCTTATTGCACAATGGTATCCAATAAGCATCTCTTCTAATTGTTCGCTCAATAAAACTGTGTTGACGACCAACATAGAAGAAAATCGTACAAAGTCATTACATAGAATGAAGTGTTAGTATGTATTACGTGATTTGACTTTGTCATGATCTAAAAAATAATTTCACTGCAATTTGTCACCCCCATCTGATCAATATATTTTTCACATCTTTCATGTTTTTCAATGGGATACCGAATTTTTCAAAAACTAGAGCCAAATAAGCATAACCGATGACATGTTCGGAATCAACACCACAAACTTACCCTTCAAATCCCTGTAATATCATTGCCCTGAAGATGAATATTGACCAGTGTAATTAATAATAATAATAATATTAAAACAAAACCCCACGATACTCACAAAGGTTGTAAATAAATAGTGATACTTGAAGTCGTTCATCTGGAGCTGAAGTATCTGAAAGGAAAGAACGTAGAACATTGTGATGAACAGGTGCAAAGAGAAGCGAAGAGAGAAAATGCTGAGAAATAGAAGGAAATAGAAAATACGGAGGGACACGTGAAAGAAGATAGTAAATATGAAAACTAGAAAGAACATAGAAAAATGCCGATGAATAGATGTAAGGCGTTATCCCATATACATAGTGACAGTGCAAATATAAACACTAAAGCAGTATAATGTGATTCTTTATTGACAACGTTTAGCGTGGGCGAAACGTGGGCGAAATGTTGTCAATAAATGATCACATTACACTGATTTAGTGTTTATGTTTCCATTGTGTCGGTACTGTATACCATTTATTTACATATAGAGAGATTTTGCACTTTCTGTTTTGAAGAAAGAATTTAAAAAAAAAATCATAGGAAGGACTGAGAGTTTTTAAATGAAATTGACATTAATTTTTAAGCTACTCTGGCAAACTTCAAAATATTTTTCATCTGAATGGAGAATCTGGTCACCAACTATGCCAGTCATTAATTTGAATGTGCAGTATTTTGTACCTTGTCCCAATTCCATTTCTTAATTTTTTTTTTCATTGACATATTCTTTCCTTTCTCTGCATTTTCTTTATTTCTCTATTCTCTACTTTCTTACATTCACTCATTTGGTTTGTTGTTTTTACTTATGTGAAACATGAGCAAATTAGAATACTAACACACACACACACACACACACACACACACACACACACACACACACACACACACACACAGCCAGGAGCTATGAATCGACCCTTGCAACCACAATTAGGTGAGCACACATACACACTTCAGAGTCAGCAACAGATGACAGCCAGGGCAGGACCGTGTGAAAATATTTTTGTGTGTTTTTTAGCTAACAAACTGTCAAAAACATCTGGTTGGAGTAGAGGAGGAAAAGAAGAATGAGGAGGAGCACGACGAAGAAGGGGAGGAAAAGAAAAAGAATAATGACGATGCAGGAGTGAAGGAGAAATATAGAATTGAAAGATGCAAGACGCAGAGAAAGAGAGACAGACAGACAGACAGACAGACAGAGAAGAATAAAGATTATGCGCAACACAAATCACACAATTAAGAAAAAAAAGAAACAAAACGGAAACAGAAAAAACACAATGGAAGCACACTCAGATCTATGAAAAAAAAATCGGGAAAAAATACACCAAATAAATCCCCTGTGACACCATCAACCAGTGGGAGCAAAATCCCTCTCACAAATCCCTCGGCCACAGACACCCCAACAAAGAGATATTTACGACCTAAATGGAAATAAGTCACAATGACTTTCCTCTGGCTTAAAACTTAACTTCGTAACTAAACACTAACTGAAAGACTAACTAAAAACTAAATAAATAACTAAATTAAAAGGTGGCTAAGTAAAACATTAACTAAATAACTGGAAAGCTGGTAAAAAAAATAAATAACTAAAATGTTAAGTAAAAAGTAACAAAAATAACTAAAAATCTAAGTAAACTTCTAAATAAATAACTAAAAAGCTAAATAAAAAACTAAATTATTGAAAGCTAACTAACTGAAAAAGGCAACTAAATAAAAAAGGAAAAGTAAAATCCAGATAAACAAAGAAAAATCTAAATAAAAGCTAACTAATGAACCAAGAAGCTAACTAACGGTAATTTTTAGTGAGAGAGAGAAGGAAGAGGAGGAGGAGGAGGAGGAAGATAACTTGATGGTGAAGGGCTCTTGATTTAAACAATTTGAGCTCCACTTCCCTTGAACTTTGTGTGTGTGTGTGTGTGTGTGTGTGTGTGTGTGTGGTGTGTGTGTGTGTGTGTGTGTGTGTGTGTGTGTGTGTACGTACAGAGATTGAGTCATGAGTTGATAAACTTTAACACAGAAAAGTTGTTTCATGAAAGTGTTTCTTTTCTTCGTCATCATAAGTTATACAATGTGAGGTCTTTCCTTCATTGATATAATAATATGTATAATATGTATAATATTGTAATTAATATGTTTGAAATATGTTTTGAGTGATTCTGGGAGTGACTCTGGGAGTGACTCTGGGAGTGACTCTGGGAGTGACTCTGGGAGTGACTCTGGAGTGATCTGGGAGTGACTCTGGGAGTGACTCTAGGGAGTGACTCTGGGAGTGACTCTGGGAGTGACTCTGGGAGTGACTCTGGGAGTGACTCTGGGAGTGACTCTGGGAGTGCTCTGGAGTGACTCTGGGAGTGACTCTGGGAGTGACTCTGGGAGTGACTCTGGGAGTGACTCTGAGAGTGACTCTGGGAGTGACTCTGGGAGTGACTCTGGGAGTGACTCTGGGAGTGACCTGAGTGACTCTGGGAGTGACTCTGGGAGTGACTCTGGGAGTGACTCTGGGAGTGACTCTGGGAGTGACTCTGAGAGTGACTCTGGGAGTGACTCTGGGAGTGACTCTGGGAGTGACTCTGGGAGTGACTCTGGGAGTGACTCTGGGAGTGACTCTGAGAGTGACTCTGGGAGTGACTCTGGGAGTGACTCTGGGAGTGACTCTGGGAGTGACTCTGAGAGTGACTCTGGGAGTGACTCTGGGAGTGACTCTGGGAGTGACTCTGGGAGTGACTCTGGGAGTGACTCTGGGAGTGACTCTGAGAGTGACTCTGGGAGTGACTCTGGGGAGTGACTCTGGGAGTGACTCTGGGAGTGACTCTGGGAGTGACTCTGGAGTGACTCTGAGAGTGACTCTGGGAGTGACTCTGGGAGTGACTCTGGGAGTGACTCTGGGAGTGACTCTGGGAGTGACTCTGGGAGTGACTCTGAGAGTGACTCTGGGAGTGACTCTGGGAGTGACTGGGAGTGACCTCGAGAGTAACCCTGTCAGTAACCCCGGGAGTGACTCTGGGAGTGACCCCGGGAGTGACCCTGTGAGTGACCCTGTGAGTGACCCCGGG